CATGGCGTCTGAAGTAAACAAACAAAGATGGCTGCGCCCATTGAAGTAAACGTGTTCATTGTTGACAGTCAAATGTGAACTGTTTATGTGCACAGGATTGAAGAATCCTTGAATAATGCAATATTTATGCATTTAAATATGGGAAGAAATATTATGTAAGTAACAATTAGTGACTGCAGTGAAAATATTTCAATTTTGAGATAAAGTGTTACATGAGAGTTAATATAAATACAGTATGTAAATTTGGTATTGATGTGTCACTACAAGTAGTATGCCAGTGTATATAGTAACCCCACATGTGGTACCCTATGCCATGTTTATCTATACCATATGTGGTTCCCTGTTGTAAAGTCTGTTCATTTGTGGTGCTATTCATTTTAGATATAATTACTTTAAAACACACAGGTGGCACCTTGTTCTTATTCAGAAACACCACAGGTGGTCCCTTTTATTGTAGTCATTCAACATGTGGTCCCTTTTATTGTAATCACCCCACATGTGGTCTCTTTTATTGTAATCACCCCACTTGTGGTACCTTTCAGTGATAATTACCCTACATGCGGTTTCCCTTACATACTGTTACCCTATGTGTGATACCATACAATCTCGACCTGTTTCAAGTTACAGATAGGCAGTACCACTCAAAACTTGGTGTTGACTGCGATAAATGTGGTTATTGAATTTTAATCAAGATTCAGTGTATAAATATAATTATAATCTAATTATTATATCCTGTCACTCATAATACTTAATTATTATTTTGGTTTTGATAGTTTATATGGACATAATTTCGTGAAATTCCATGATTTATTAGGTCATCTGGACCCGTAAACTTTTCATTCAAACGACTTCTTCTCAAATACTAGAAGGTCTAGGGGGCTAATACTTGGCACAGAGGATACTGGCATGGAGCTCTACCAAGTTTGTTCAAATGAATGACCTTGACCCACTTTAAAGGTCACAGGGGTCAAATATGTTAAAATCTTTAAACAACTTCTTCTCATTAACCAAAAGGCTCAGAGTGTAGATATTGGGCCTGTGACATGCTGGGATGAAGGACTACCAAGTTTGTTCAGATGAATGACCTTGACCCACTTTAAAGGTCACAGGGGTCAAATATGTTAAAATCTTTAAACAACTTCTTCTCAATAACCAAAAGGCTCAGATTGCTGATATTGTGCCTGTGGCATGCTGGGATGAAGGGCTATCAAGTTTGTTTAAATGAATGACCTTGAACAACTTTCAAGGTCACAGGGGTCAAATATGTCAAAATCTTTAAATAACTTCTTCTCAAATACTAGAAGGCCTAGGGGGCTAATACTTGGCCCATAGCATGCTGGCATGGAGCCCTACAAAGTTTGTTCAAATGAATGACCTTGGCCCACTTTCAAGGTCACAGGGGTCAAATATGTTAAAATATACAAAGGACTTCATCTCAATAAGCAAAAGTCTATGAGTGCCGATATTGGGTCTGTAGCATGCTGGGAGGAAAGGCGACCAAGTTTATTTAAATGAATGACCTTGAACAACTTTCAAGGTCGCAGGGGTCAAATATGTCAAAATCTTTAAATAACTTCTTCTCAAATACTAGAAGGCCTAGGGGGCTAATACTTGGCCCATAGCATGCTGGCATGGAACCCTACAAAGTTTGTTCAAATGAATGACCTTGGCCCACTTTCAAGGTCACAGGGGTCAAATATGTTAAAATATACAAAGGACTTCATCTCAGTAAGCAAAAGTCTATGAGTGCCGATATTGGGTCTGTGGCATGCTGGGAGGAAAGGCTACAAAGTTTATTCAAATGAATGACCTTGAACAACTTTCAAGGTCACAGGGGTCAAATATGTTAAAATCTTTAAACAACTTCTTCTCATTAACCAAAAGGCTCAGAGTGTAGATATTGGGCCTGTGACATGCTGGGATGAAGGACTACCAAGTTTGTTCAAATGAATGACCTTGACCCACTTTAAAGGTCACAGGGGTCAAATATGTTAAAATCTTTAAACAACTTCTTCTCAATAACCAAAAGGCTCAGATTGCTGATATTGTGCCTGTGGCATGCTGGGATGAAGGGCTATCAAGTTTGTTTAAATGAATGACCTTGAACAACTTTCAAGGCCACAGGGGTCAAATATGTCAAAATCTTCAAATAACTTCTTCTCAAATACTAGAAGGCCTAGGGGGCTAATACTTGGCCCATAGCATGCTGGCATGGAGCCCTACAAAGTTTGTTCAAATGAATGACCTTGGCCCACTTTCAAGGTCACAGGGGTCAAATATGTTAAAATATACAAAGGACTTCATCTCAATAAGCAAAAGTCTATGAGTGCCGATATTGGGTCTGTAGCATGCTGGGAGGAAAGGTTACCAAGTTTATTTAAATGAATGACCTTGAACAACTTTCAAGGTCGCAGGGGTCAAATATGTCAAAATCTTTAAATAACTTCTTCTCAAATACTAGAAGGCCTAGGGGGCTAATACTTGGCCCATAGCATGCTGGCATGGAACCCTACAAAGTTTGTTCAAATGAATGACCTTGGCCCACTTTCAAGGTCACAGGGGTCAAATATGTTAAAATATACAAAGGACTTCATCTCAATAAGCAAAAGTCTATGAGTGCCGATATTGGGTCTGTAGCATGCTGGGAGGAAAGGCTACAAAGTTTATTCAAATGAATGACCTCAACCCACTTTCAAGGTCACAGGGGTCAAATATGTTAAAATCTTTAAACAACTTCTTCTCATTAACCAAAAGGCTCAGAGTGTAGATATTGGGCCTGTGACATGCTGGGATGAAGGACTACCAAGTTTGTTCAGATGAATGACCTTGACCCACTTTAAAGGTCACAGGGGTCAAATATGTTAAAATCTTTAAACAACTTCTTCTCAATAACCAAAAGGCTCAGATTGCTGATATTGTGCCTGTGGCATGCTGGGATGAAGGGCTATCAAGTTTGTTTAAATGAATGACCTTGAACAACTTTCAAGGTCACAGGGGTCAAATATGTCAAAATATACAAAGGACTTCATCTCAATAAGCAAAAGTCTATGAGTGCTGATATTGGGTCTGTAGCATGCTGGGAGGAAAGGCTACAAAGTTTATTCAAATGAATGACCTCAACCCACTTTCAAGGTCACAGGGGTCAAATATGTTAAAATCTTTAAACAACTTCTTCTCATTAACCAAAAGGCTCAGAGTGTAGATATTGGGCCTGTGACATGCTGGGATGAAGTACTACCAAGTTTGTTCAGATGAATGACCTTGACCCACTTTAAAGGTCACAGGGGTCAAATATGTTAAAATCTTTAAACAACTTCTTCTCAATAACCAAAAGGCTCAGATTGCTGATATTGTGCCTGTGGCATGCTGGGATGAAGGGCTATCAAGTTTGTTTAAATGAATGACCTTGAACAACTTTCAAGGTCACAGGGGTCAAATATGTCAAAATCTTTAAATAACTTCTTCTCAAATACTAGAAGGCCTAGGGGGCTAATACTTGGCCCATAGCATGCTGGCATGGAGCCCTACAAAGTTTGTTCAAATGAATGACCTTGGCCCACTTTCAAGGTCACAGGGGTCAAATATGTTAAAATATACAAAGGACTTCATCTCAATAAGCAAAAGTCTATGAGTGCCGATATTGGGTCTGTAGCATGCTGGGAGGAAAGGCTACCAAGTTTATTCAAATGAATGACCTCAACCCACTTTCAAGGTCACAGGGGTCAAATATGTTAAAATATACAAACGACTTCTTCTCAACAAGCAAAAGTCCATGAGTGCTGATATTGGGCCTGTAAGATGCTTGGAGGAGAGGCTACCAAGTTTGTTCAAATGAATGACCTCAACCCACTTTCTAGGTTTGGCTTGCTTTTTGTCAGATGACCGTTAAGGCCCATGGGCCTCTTGTTGAGTTTGCAGTCATGAATAATTTTCAATTTAAATCATATATTTTCCCTTCTATTTTCCAATTAAATGGCAGTAATCGATATTAATCATTTTCTGCTAAAGTGATATTTGTATTGTTCCCCTGTACTCAGATGTTCTTTTGTTTAGTTGTGTTGATTTTATATAACCTTTGATTTTAAAAGTCGAGTTTCTGTCGAAATCATTTTGTGTCAAGATTTTCATATCTTTCAAATTAATTGGTGAATATTTTGTTCTTAATTGGAAATGTTGTTAAAATATTATTACAATATTTTGTCGAAGAAATAATTCCATTCAAGTTGTATGCTGAGTCAAATTACTTATCATATTTTCCTCAGGTCAGATGTTATCAGAATTATTTTCTAGTTTTAATGAACTTGGTGTTGGAGCATTTTGGTTAATTGAACGTATTTTATTCTCAACGGGGTTCATTATATACTTCGCTCTATCTTGTCGAGTCTAGTCAGTAATTTGTTATTTGAAATCCAATTAGTGTAATTAAACCAAGTTTAATTAATTGTATCATTCCAAGGATGTCATTAGTTTTATACAGGTCATTTCAATTCTATGGACTTGTCCGGTCTGTGGTCGGTCATTGTCAGTTTTATAACTTCTAGTCCGGTTTACCCATTGTGGTATAACTTATAGCCTGTAATGACCATGATTAGTCATGATAGGTACATGTTACCTTAGACAACAACTTGCCATGCATTTTCATGATTTATTGTGTACATGTTTTGTAAAATGAGATTGGCATTGCCAGTAATAAATATTGAAGACCTGAACAGACTTATTTTCTGCTCCTCCAGATATGCCTTCTTGCCATTCCCTCGCCCATTCCCTCGCCCGTGGGTGTCACAATTTAAATAACCATTTTCGTGTGTTTGATATCTGTCATATGCATTTGTGATGATAATTCATGGAAAGTTTGGTTGAACCAAATCAAGACTGTCAGACTTCTTCTCAAAGTAAGTACCTCAGCAACAGAAACGAGTTGATATTGTTGACGCTCTTAACTAAATCACGACGTCAGAGGCACTCCATCATCACACCATCATAAAATGAACTCCAAAAGCAATTATTTTACAAAGCATTTATTTAAGCGTTCCGGTTAACTAATAACATTACTATGTATATAAAAACATCAAAGTCGAAGATATTATGTCCGAGTTTGTTTGGTATCAAATAACATCCTACATCTGGTCAAACACGACTTTCAAACATCCTTAATGTGTCGGTACTTTCTCGTTGTTTCTAGACATGGCAAAACAGCCATGGACATCACTGTCATTTAGTTTAAAATGCATCTTTTAATTTTTTATTATCTCTCAATTTCTCAGAGTAACTGTATAATTATATTTTGCAGATCTTGATACACACAAAACAGGTTTTTATTCTATCACACAAGATTCCGCCATTTCGTCATTTGTTCTCAAATCCAGGAATATCTTAATTTTAGCATAGTCATATTTTTGCCATTAAAGAGCCAATCTATCCAAAATCATACTCCGATATTAAAACCATTGGTGAAACAACTTTTTTTGCAAATTAAGTCAGTATCCATTTTTAAACTACCACCGAAAATTTCTTCCTTGAGAACATACTATGTCTTCATCAAGCAACTTCTATCACATTTATAAAGATCCTTATGTAATAATCCTGTTACAGTGATGACCACCATTCAAGTAAAGGATATATCAACATTTCCAGAATATTTGACGTCGATTTTATTCTTTGCTTGTGAAAGCATGGAGCGTTTTTACTAGTTTTGGTGAACTATTTTATATATGATTTAAAATTCATTACTGGGATATACATGTATAACCGTTATCTATGATGTCGCAGTAAAACACATTCTTATGGTTGCACTATTAGTAAACGTAGCGTGTACTTACTTGTCGAAAACAATCATTCACGTCTAAAAAGCAAAAAGTAAAGAAATACTGAATGCGTCTTAAGAAGTTATATAAGGAAATGTTTGTTTCTTTCAACCACTTTTCTTCTGTGCTTCTGATTTACTCACAAGTGTTCAGTTTTTTGGTATTTATCTCGTCCAATTTATTGAACAGGAAATCCTCAACGAAATTCAGAATTTTTCTGAGACTAAGTAGCGACAGGATGTTAACATTCTGTTCAAGGTCTGCCTCGTGCTCGTAGTTTTTTACCGGAAGTATGTGGGATCTTGGCAGACCCATCACCATGGCAACCTTGTCAATGCACTCCTTCACTGCTGCACTGAAGTACACCTTGCTGATATCATCGGAGGATTCTTCACATATTTTGTCAATTTTGGTCAACAACACAGCCTGTGGTATTCCTGTGAATACAGAAGATAAAACTCTTTTGTCTAGATAATGTCTAGAAGGTCTGTTGAAAAATAGGACGGTTGTCTTTTCCCAACATATATAGTGACTTGTTTGTACGTCTCCTTGGAAAAGGTATATTGACATAATGATTTGATAGCATTTTATGATTTTATGAGCATCGATACAACTGGTATTCCTAAATGGATATTACTACATCGCTTACTTGGATTTAACCAGGATTATATGGCGGGTGTCGTCGATATTGCAGAAGACGCTTACTCTTCCAGAACAACTGGTCTTATTCTCATTGCAATTTTTCGGAGAGTCTCCGTGTAAATCTTTTTTTTCACTATTGAAGGGTTTGGAGAATAATAATATTGACATTTTTTTTTTTTTATTTTATTATTTATATAAAATAAATATTTATTTTTATTTATATTTTGTTAAACAAAATATCTTAGATTCTCGATGAATAACAGCTACATCGCATGTTTCGCATCATTTTGAGTTAAAAGTTGTTAAGGCCGTGATAATAGTGCGTTTTAATGAAGTGATACCTCTTAAGTTCATTAGCGGCTGCATTCCTTTGATTCTTTCAACTACTTTTTCAGGGATAACATCGACTGTACTAGCATCCAAGACAAATGTCACACAATGAATTTTGTCTGAAAACTCGGGGGTTTTCAAGAATCCATGTAGATCAGGCGATAGTGGAATAGCCGGGTTAAACTGAAAGTAGCAAATAGCAATGCATTACTTTAATATATGACTTATGTAGAGCACTAATTGTTTGGATATCGAATATTATTTTAACAATAGCATAAAAACATATGAAGTCCTATCATTTTCATTTCACGGTTGTTTAATAAATAAATCATATTTCAGCTTATGACCAATATTCTCAGTTTTCAGATCATATCGTTATTTACCTTTGTTGACCTTACCAGTCCAAGCCAACTGAAATGGTTTACATGTATAATAAACGTATACCAAAAGAATCGTATCGATCCATCTCTGTGTTTAATAGTTTAGCGTACTGGTTATTGTACTTAATGTAAATTTAGTTGTAATGTTTTATCATTAATGCATCACCAGCCAAAACACTCCTAGATGTAAAGGAGGCATAGTAAATAGAAATAAAATATCAATACCATAAAAGATATAATTTATGATTGAATGCTGTATATATGTATTTATAAAAGGAATTTTACTGACTTTAGTAGGACACAAAATGTAGACAACAAGCAATTAATAAATATATCATTTCATTCTCCTTTTAAATCTATATAATATGTTCTGTGTTTAGTAATGATATCGATTAATCAAGTATGGTTGTTTTTTTAATAAACAGAAGATTGAAATCAATGGAGAACAATAAGCACTTCAACACATTGAATGAATCTATATACAGCCGAATCAAGTGACGCTGTCCGTCCTGTGATCCTGACTCTAGTCTCAGTACTTTTTAATCTGAGCTTACATATAGGTACACTTTATTCTGTTGGTAATATAAAAAATGGATGTATTTTGGAGAGTTTTATAAACAGGCGAATCTAGTTATGTAGAACGAGGTTAACCGGTCAGCATCGTACACATGAATTTCACATCAAATCGGAATTGTAATAGATTGACGGGTAGTACAGAAAAAGAATATTATAGAAGTTTTTTTCTCCTATATATCGAAAGAAATGAAAAAAATAATAAGATTTGTTACATACATTGTACCTGTCAGGCACATGTCCATCAAGTAGATAGCAAATGTCGTTATCGTTGAGACCTTGATCCTCCTCTAAGCCACGTGTGTCACATAACCGGAAGTTCAATGTTTTGCTGGTATATCCGTCGTGTATTTCATACATCCGGTACTATGAGTTAAAGTGATAATATAAGATTACAGCAAAAATTTACTTCAAAGAGGCATACTGAATGTTTCTGCTAGCAGTGAAAATGATCATGAAATAATGCAGATAGTATTTGTATCTGAAAAGATACTTGTATTTTCAATAATAAACATAATATAAGGTTAACGTGTTATTTTTTTAGCTTCTTTGCATCTTAGATGTCAGTGAAATCAATTCTTACAGACGTTGTTAGACTGTGTTCAGTACTTCCAGCGCTGGCTTGACTGCTTATATACCCCCGGAATATTGAGTTAATGGTATTGAAGTAGCTGGACTTTCCAGCTCCGACTTGTCCTATCAAAAGGATCCTCGCCTGCTGGATGTCAAGTCCGGATAATGGTTTATACGTGGCTACTTTGTCCTTCATCTCTTCCTCAAACTAAACAAGATACCCACAGGATTTATTGCACGTTTCACTGTATTATACACTCTCAAGTACTTAAATAGCGGAGGTAGAAATGGAAATAGTATGAAATTATATAAACAATACCTTATCACAGCAGTGTATATAGAAAGAGTTCTCACAAAACATGATGTGTACATATGGCATAAAATCATGTTTTGACTTTTTAACTTTTCACAAATCCATTTTAAACAACTTTCACATGCACAAATATACATACATAATTGACACCATTCTGAAATTATCAGAAATATGGAAATTGCTAAATTTGTTGAATATGGGTTTAGTGCACCTCCCAGTCTAGGTTTTGAATTTTCCTCAGTCGTCTTATTCTTTTCAAAAATTTGGCCTTAGCATTATCGACGCGTCCTAGAAGGGCAAAACAGCTTTATGATGTAGTTTAACTCGTTATGTGGCACAACTCTACATAAATCTAAATTTTGTTTATAGGTGATATTTACTCCTGTGTCTTTTGTGCAAGGGGCTGATATGATCATGTTAAAAACCAAATGTTTCAACCTGATTCATAACACATATGATCTTTTTTTCAATTTGGTAGAATCCACTTGCCTATCTAAATGAAATCAAACTGGTTCAGTTTAATCATGAATTTCAACACACACATCATATTTTTAACTAATTAATATGTATTGTATGAATAATTATTTTTTGAAAAGATTTAACTTAGTTTTGATGGCATTGTCCTAATTTTGGCAAGTTAATATCATTCCGGACGCAAAGCATTTGTGGGGGTCGAAATAAAATAAGATTTGGGTACATTTATTTCATATCAACAAATTTCTAGTTTGGCATCTATTTTGACCACATCTAATTAACCTTTGGTTTCAGAAATTAGGTTTTATCAACTAATAGCTAGTATTAGAGGAATGATACAACTGAATGATTATAAAAAAAAAAAAAAAATCAATTTATTATTTGGCTCAGCTGTATCTTCCTTTCAATTGCATTGTAGGTGTTTTTCACTTGTTTATAATTTGTACAATTTGGGGAAGTTGTTCGAAACAGGTCTTGTCTGGAAAGCAATGTTTGAGCAATCATGTTATAAAATGGTCACCATTGCTACAATGTGTTGTCTGCATCATCTCATTAACATCTCCACAATGATTCACCTCAGATGTTACAATCACTTTCGTGATCTGCATCACTGGAACAAGTCATGGCAAATTGATTGCACAAGCGAAGTACTCTGATTTGTGCCAAGAAAAAAATTGCCAAATTATAGCCCGAAAAGCTCGTTTTGAAAAATACAAAGGAGCGGATGCCAACTTCGAAGCCATTACACTATACCGTTATGTGACCTCGAGATTCATTTGATGTACATCAGATGATCAAACTAGTCTTTTTATCTTGTTCACAAGGTGGACATGACATGTTCCAGAGAACTAATGTGATCATAATCCCTGGAGTATGAAGGACGTTCAAGTTGTGAAACTGAAGATTAAATGTGTGATGTTCAGTGGAAAATTGTGATTGCAAAATCAATTTGTTACAAAATGACTGTAAGAGCTGTCGGGCAGAATTTTTAAAGCCTTAATATACGTAAAAATCACTATTAAATAACAAACTTTATCATATTTTCCCCGTAATATATGTAACAAAACAAATACTTTCCTTTAATTAAAGAAAATAAAACTGACTGTTCTCAATTTAAAGCCCCAATATACGTAACATTCACCAAAAATTTAGTGTAGAATTACACATAATTATTGAGATATTCTCTAAGATGTAGTTAAAATTAAGTTATTCAAACAATAGTTACCATGACTTTGTGCAAAAAGTATTGATTTATAAGCAGTTGAAACTCCCTATTTGTAAACACACCTCCATTTTAAACACGCCGCCATCGAAATTACGATTGTTGTCGAACACGTCGGAAAGTTCATGACCTGATCTCGCGAGAGTTGAGGTTTCTACTTATAGAGGAAGCACATGCAGATATGTCTACGGCAAGTTTTTGTTTACAAAACACTGTTTGCGAAGTCTTGTCATAGACTTGAGGTATTCCTGTGATAAATATTCAGTTTTTTGGGAAATTATTAGAAGGAATAATTAGTTTAGAAACGATACGACGCACAATTATAACGTAAGAATTCAGAACTGGCCTGATGTATGATTGGAAAGAAAGGAAGCGACTGGTGGTCTTTTCTTAGCTGTGTCTGCCTTGTTTACACACGCGGAATATGCGCATGCGCAATGTCATCGCTACGAGCGGTAATATATGAATTATTGTGGGTCCCACATTATTTATTTTTCGATTTTTTTCAATTTTTATGAACTTTCCGACGTGGTTCGGCAACAATCGTAATTTCGATGGCGGCGTGTTTAAAATGGGGGTGTGTTTACAAATAGCGAGTTTCAACTGCTCATATATTGATACTTTATGCACAAAGTCATGGTAACTATTGTTTGAATAACTAAGTTTTAACTACATCTTAGAGAATATCTCAATAATTATGTGTGATTCTACACTAATTTTTTGGTGAATGTTACGTATATTGGGGCTTTAACCATATCAGGTTTCGGAGAGAACCGAAAAAAATTTCAGATAATCTTGACCAGTCAGGTGTTAAGCTGTCAAAATATAAAACAGTTTAAGACATTAAAGTATAAAGCATGCCGCATGTAAGTGTAGTATGCAGACAAATGTACATATATAATTATAATGTGAATGCTTACCTTTGAAGTCCAGCTTACATTCCGAACCCACGGTTTTTGGAGTAGCATGTGCTCTGATTAGGAAAACAATGATGGAACGATGATATTGTATTTTTCATTTGAAGACAATACAGAAAGCTTCGAGTTTAAACATTGTATAAATAAATAAATAAATACATAATATTCCTGTTTACCCCAAAACTTAGTCTCATGAGTCTCCTGAAGAATATTAAGTAGAAAAAAAAATACTTTTTATACTTTTAAAAACATGTTTACATTTTATTCTGTCATGTGGCCTTTAATATTTCCTTTTTATATGTATTTTGAACTCGTATACATAAACCAATATCAAAATTCAAATCATACAAGGTGCCGTGGAAACTTTAAAATGTAATAAATCAACGAGAGAAAAGGTCTTAGAAAGACACTTCCAGTGGTTCTAGAAAAATAGAAATAAGCCAGAAGAAATTTATAAGGACGACAAAGGGTATTTAAATGGAATCACTATCCAAGGACAGCTGGATACAGTTAAACTATATATAACATTTCGCTGTGAAAAGAAGTCATAAAAGACTTCAAAATCCGAAATTAATCAATGTCTCTTAAGAACTGAAAAAACTTCATACAAAATTTGTCGGATATTAATAAAACATTCTTTGAGAAAAAACATTTACCGTTATTGTTTCAAGACAAGGTGAAGGACTACCAATAAAAGACAATATCAACATTTTATCAACTCAATATAGAATGGGTTGAACATATGACAATTTTATCGTCTGTTTTACAACCTACAAACCCTGAACACCGTAAACCTCCAGGTCCAAGACGTTTAGATGACCGTTTGTCATAGTATTGTAGTCCTGTCCCTGCGAGCTGTACGCATGACCTAAACCCACACTGCCATTTAAAGGGAAATAATCCCCTGATTTATTTACAGTTTCGGAGAAACATTGAAAGTCATGTCCACTTCCAAATGTCGGCCCATAATTTTCGTGTGCGGAAATTGCGTATTTAGCATTTTTGACGGGCATCTTGATAGGTTGTGCTCTGCCATTATATTCCAATTTGAAGATAAAAGCCTCGCAATCGGCGACATATGATCCACATGTTTTCCAGCTAACAGCGGTGTATCCCCCATATACGGATTTGTCAGTATTGTACAGAACGGTGACAGTTGGCCCCTTGTTGTCACAGAAACTATGGAAAGTCTCGGCTTTACAACCGTCACGGGTAATCTTGTACAGTAAAGTGAACTTATGTCGTTTTGATGGATCGATCCATTTGGAAAGTTGATCCCTATGGGTCTGTGTTAGCTTGGTCGCCATATTAAGTAAGCTGCAAAAAACATGAAAATATAACTGAATTATATGAAATAATCAATCAATAAGAAGTTTGGATTTATTAAATGTTATTGGCGCTTTAAGAGAAACGTGCTTTTAGTCAGAAAAATGGCAATTATAATGTAGTGGATTGTGTTAGATATTGTGCTTTTAGTTTTTATCTACCCCTGCCCCGATAAAGGTGCTCTATCAGACCAAAGAATAAAGCTGACAACTTAATTTTAAAACAGCTGTCTTATTTGTTTACAAGAATTTCGGAAAATCTATATTACATGTTGATTTCTCGGAATCTCTGCCTATTTTCGCTTTATAGTACATAATACACATACTTGTTGGCTACTTGTACTTTCCTGTTTATCACATATTCATCATATGTTAAGATTGATCTATATGTTCACGATATTGTCTATCGATTCCTTTATTTCAAAGGTATCAAGGAATCTGCATTTAAATGCTATCTAAGTGTTCTCGAAGATTCTTTTTAGACGCCTCGAACGTGATTGAAGACTCGCATCTAATGATAATATGTCATATGTGACGAGTTAAAGTTGATTTTTCAAGCTCGAAATGAGTAAAAAATCTCATTATTTGCAATGCGGTATCCTTTTTTATCAATTTGAAAAGACATACCTGAGGTTCTTTCCTTCGTGCCCTTTCACGACGGTTGTCAGTATCCTTTCACTTTCGTTTCCCTAGTAAAAAGAATCGAAAATGAAAATACATCGTGGAAAGCCCACTTACAAACGTCTTTCTGGTTCTAGACTTTGCACTCATTGCTTGTTATATTATATATATACGTATATGTGTATATTTATATCAGACTATATAGGTGGTGATATATGTTATATATACGTGTATGTGTATATTTATATCAGACTATATAGGTGGTGATATATGTTATATATAAGTATGTTTTATATTTATATCAGACTATATAGGTGGTGATATATGTTATATATACGTATATGTGTATATTTATATCAGACTATATAGGTGGTGATATATGTTATATATAAGTATGTTTTATATTTATATCAGACTATATAGGTGGTGATATATGTTATATATACGTATATGTGTATATTTATATCAGACTATATAGGTGGTGATATATGTTATATATAAGTATGTTTTATATTTATATCAGACTATATAGGTGGTGATATATGTTATATATACGTATATGTGTATATTTATATCAGACTATATAGGTGGTGATATATGTTATATATACGTATATGTGTATATTTATATCAGACTATATAGGTGGTGATATATGTTATATATAAGTATGTTTTATATTTATATCAGACTATATAGGTGGTGATATATGTTATATATACGTATATGTGTATATTTATATCAGACTATATAGGTGGTGATATATGTTATATATACGTATATGTGTATATTTATATCAGATTATATAGGTGGTGATATATGTTATATATACGTATATGTGTATATTTATATCAGACTATATAGGTGGTGATATATGTTATATATAAGTATGTTTTATATTTAAATCTATAAATCTTTACTGTGCTTTATTTTTCTGACATTACTTAATTAAGTTATTAAGATACATTTTTTTTTCGATTGGATGATAAAAGAACAAACGACTACATTAATTTGCTATATGTGATCACATAATACATGCACATAAGTGTATAGATGTTGTCCCGATTATTTTACCGATTTCGTTTTACTATTTGGGTTTGAAAATTGTTTAATACTGCAGTTTGAAAAAAGGTAATGAAATAAAGAATAACGTACAAATACGTACACATGTAAATGAGAAATATTTCAATTCTTTTAGAAGTTTCCATTTAAGCGCAGGTTTTGAGCGTGAACATTTTTAATATTTCATAAAAATGGCCTGATAAGCAAGAGTTAGTTCCCCTGGTATGTAAGATAGCATTACCTCCACGGTATAAACGCCAAATTTAACTCCACCTGTATAAACTTGTATAGAAGAAATGATCTCATGAGGAACTAGTGGAAAGAATGGACTGATTTTTTTATTAAGTATTTCTTTCAATGAAAAATACGCATTGTATGTGTATACATTGTTCAAAAATGAAACGAAATGTATTGATTTATTGAATTAAGCACACGTCATTATCTTTATTTAGAATAGAATTATTGAGAATTTTCATGAATTTTGTATACCTCAGTCACCATGAAATATATCAGAATCAAAGAATCACTTATGAGTCCCGAAAGGATGAATCAGCTGTATGATGCAGTTACATAACTTATTTGATCATGCTGTATCTAATTTTAAATTCTTATTGAAAGTTGCTATTCATGTACATGTATTGTGTACTATACTGTGAATCTCATGTCAAATAATCAAGGTTTTGTTAATTTTTACTCAGAGTATCATCAATTATGTCAAGTCTTACACGAACGCATTTATGTGGAATAACGCCTCTAGATGTTTACGAATAATTCTTATGTTAAATAACATAACAATATCAACGCATTATATTTTAAAATTATGATACTTTGGAAACTGCACCGTAAGCAGATACATATATAGACATTTACACTTTAAAACACATTTTTTGTCTTGAATACACTTTAAAACACTTATTCAATTATCCAAAAACGCAGTTCCTTATTTTTCATTACACGTTTTATGTTCACTTCTTGACATTAGATTGTAATTGTTATTTTAATCTATTTGCTGCTTACGTGATTAAAAATAATTAACACTTGTACATTCTTTGATAATTGCTCTCACCTGAAATCTAAGATTTAAGTATCACCAGTATTATAAATCTGGTGTAAATAAAAATAGATTTTAGGAAGACGATTAATCTTATACTGAATCTAAGTACAATATTATTTATGTAGTTACTTCCCTTGGAACAGATAGACGCTCAGCTGGGTCTAAGTACATTGTTCTCATATTACAGTACCTGCATACCAAATTACAACTTAAAAATCGATATTTAGTGTACTCTGTTTTTATTTATTTATTTATTTATTTATTATTTATCTATCTTTTCTGTCTGTAAAAAATACAAATCCCCGAGAGTTATTGCCCTAACTCTATGATCAACTAATACTGCAGTATGATAATTAGTAATGAGATGTCCTACCGTTTTGTATTGTAAATAGTATAGATAAAGAAATGCGTCAACCTTTCTATCTCATGCGCTTAGACATCAACCCTCTCTTAAGTAAGTTGATGTTATATGTAATATGTAAAATAGCTTGAATTTTAATATATAAAGATATACTGTTTATATCAGTATTTTTCATCAAATGTGTTATAAATCCTAAGTCCTTTTGATACGATTGAACAGGTTATCCTACCTTATCATCCTCTTTCGTCTCTTCCTATTTATATGGTCTAAAATTAATTCAATTCACTTTAATATCATTCCTTTCTTTGTTGATAACTTAAAATATAAGGGGATGATTGAAAAACATTGTAAGAGAAATAGAAAATACAGAGGCGAATGTACAACAGGCACATAAATGAAAAGTACAATTACAAAGGTATCTAGTAACGGATAATTGTAATGTCGAACTAAGAAAACAATTATGTTATACCCATGTTACATCTTTCTGGGACTTCACCAGGGATGTATGAATGAAATTCTAGAAGACATGTTGGAACTACATAATTGATCAAAATAGATATTAGAATCGAGATGGAGGTATGTACCTAGCCCGTAATTCTAATAATTTCGTTAAAATGTAAATAAAGTAGGTTGTTAGATATAAACTTCAACTCAGTCCACACTTTTTATTCTTTATATAAATTAAAGTAAAAATGGGTTATGACAAATCTCTAAAGGCCAATCACCGATTTATACAAAAGTCAAACAAGTGAATTACTCTTTAACAATTCATTGAAATATACGATTTATCAACTACCTCTTTCTTAAGGCAATGCCGCATTTCCACTTCTCTAGTTCTATACAACCATCAAACATTTGATTTCTGTTAAGATACTACGTGTCGTACTATTTGATGTGTAGATAACACTTTATCGAGCCTTGGATATAGCCGACTGATTATGCTATTGTATTCTGATTTTAAAGATAATTAGCAATTAACCTAAAAAGTAGGCCGAACCAGGTCCGCCCTTATCTCTTACTGTGTGAAAAGGTCGTACATAAATGTATTGCCAAATTAAACACGGCGTTGAGTTTATAATAGAATGTCTTAAGAACACCCTACCATTATTTGAATGATTGACTTAATTCATGCAGAACCGTCCGACGGAAAATGTAGATATAGGCATATCATTTGATGTAAAATTGGTAAATGTGTTTCAACAGTATTCATGTGTGTACCTATTGTCAAATTGCAAACAAGTATTGAATAAAAACATTTATTTATAAAAAGTTATAAAATGTGTATTTCTTCATCATTTATTTGACGGTAACTTCGATTGATCTAATGAATCTGTGTTTATCAATCCTGATTATATTGAACCAGTCACAGTGTCATGTTTTTTCTTGTCTTCTGTTTTCTATGTGAATAATTCGCGACACCGGACCCAACTTATATTTAAAATGTGTCAAAATTTAAAAAAAAAAAAAAAAAAAAGGTGTCAAAGAAAATGTGCAATGCGAAATCCGAACTTGTCGGATTAACAAAATTCCTTCTTAAATGTAGTTTCATCTCTTACAGTCGTTGAATAAACGATATGTATGATATTTCGGAAATAGTGATATAAACATTCAACCTTAAAAACAAGAAAGCAGTAATGACATTTACTGGCCGTTTTATTTGGACTTTAATGACGTACATCTAACATATATTGGCAGTAAGTTATAACAAATACATGTGGACATGATAAGGCAAAATGGACATTAAACAATGACCGGTCATACATTTAGATAAAATACTGAGGTAGATACAAGTAAAATCGTATTTAAGTACACTAAATTACATTAATACCAAACTTCAGTCCGGCTGAAGAGTGATCAACAACAACATTTTACATATCAATATTTTAAAACAATGTAGTTTTACTACGCGAAACAATAACATGAAACAGAAGATATTTAGCACAAGAAAAGCATTAAGTCCACTTATGATGCAGTGTAACAGTCAGATGACGTTGGTAATGTTTTTTTATGTTCATTGTTGATGATACGATACAGGTCCTTCAACATATAGTCATTTAATGTAATTTCCATAGCAGACCTTGAAAGGTCGTAGTTGAAATGTTTGCAGAGAAAGTGAAATATTCTCTTTGTTTTGCAGCGTACACTTATGTACTGAGTCGACAGCTTTGGTTTAGTAAGGTTATCATTCTGAATCACTATCTGTGCTATAGTCCGAACTTTGAGAATCACCGAAACCAGAGTCAATAGAGCCGTGTGTATCTCGTCTGTGATTGAAGGATTTCCAGTCACCAGATACCATGTTCGTATTAACAGATTCCTCTATCAGTTCAGAACACAGACAGTCATCCTCCAGCTCCTCCTCAGCTATACACCGGTAGTCATCTTCATCAAAAACTGAAGGCAACGACGACATTGATACCAGTGAAGACATAGAAGGAATTGAACCCACTGATGGAAGAGAAGACATTGAAGGCAAGGACCGGAGGTCGGAGTCAGAACCAGTGACATCACAGGAACTCGTCGATAGATTTTTGCTTCCACCATGGAAACGCTGAAATTTGATTTCTTCAATGGTATCGTTCATGGTTAAGAGCTGCTTCATTAGACCCAGGTCTTGGTCCATGAGGTTCGCCTGTAACAAAAACGTAAATGTTGGTAAGTATATTTATACCTTTATACGTGGCAAAACATGATTTTTTTGTAACTGAATAAAAGCCATCGGATCCACCTTCAAATTTATGTAAAGTGATTAATATTATATTTTGAGACGTTTGTTTACCAGAACAAATACAAAGCGCAACCCAAGGTATCTTTGAAACAAGTACAAGGTAAACGAAAGTAAAGCTTACCATTTCTTTTCGTAGCGTCGCCATAGCTTCGTCCATAAATGATTTAGGCTTTGTCAAGTCACTGTCATTGCAGATCTTGTCCTTCAAGTCTTCGGTCGATCTTTGCCTACTGTAGTAAAATTCCCGACAGGAGTTTGACAATTCTATGGAAGCCGTGTAGGCATCCGTACTATCCACGGGCTGCCGTGTCGTTAGTGCCATTTTATATGGTTTTGTATGTTGTTCCCGAGACAGGAAAGTCAGTATGATGACTCTTGGTTCTTCCCAACCTTATATATCACCGAATAATGTGGTGTCCTCTGATTGGTCGAATTTGTGTATTGACTTAAAATCCGGCCGATGGACAGCCAGATAAACCATGACGTATGTGTTACCACCATGGACCGGGTGCAGCGCTTCCTACAGTTTTAATTAACCCGATAACATCTAACACACAAGTGTGGTATCTACAAGGAGCTCATCCTAGGGGATATTTTTGGTGGAAATCAACTGCAAGGTCGAATTCCAAACAATAGAGAAATTTGCATTGGCAAAGTTGCTTGATCGATTTAGTGTGGTACACCAATACTAACTGGCGAGTGTCAATGTCTTTGGTATGACATTGTTTAGTGTGTAATTATATAACAAATATATTTTTAAAAAATAGTTTATAGATATATAGATAAAGATAGTGTACTGTTGCTATTTTAAATGGTTCTTTTTCTTAAATGCAGAAGTTCTGCCAAAAGAACCAAAATTAAAGTCAAAATGCAAAACCTTTAACTGTTTTTTCTGTTAAATCTAAAAATTCATGTTTGTGTCCATTCAGTCATTTACGAAACAATTCATCTCTCTTAATTTTTGTTAAAAATGCTTTGGAATTATATGTTTTTTGTTCAGTCTTCGAAAAAATATAAAAAAAAATAAATGTTTAAGAAAATCATGCCTGCAATTACAAATCGCTTAGGGCTTGATCACATGACAATGCTATCTGCAGATGGCCGAGTAGCCTCACACTGGTCATATCTTATGTGTTATTTCGCTCTGAAATCACCCCACCCGGTTAGCCAAATATCTGAAATACTTAATCAGTCCACTTTATCGTTGGTTTGCTTCTTGTGACACGGATTATATTTATCGCTAAAATACCGCGTCGGAATCATTGTTATTGAATCTCTACGTTATGGACAAACAATTATCTGACAGCTAGGTATCAGTGTAACTCTAATGATCAGCTGATAGCAGACCATTTCGGTCACAAACCTAAAAAATCTCAACAACAATTAGATTCAGTAATAAATTAATCGTGTTCTATCATAACCTTTTGGTTTTACAAGTTAGCAGATAGCTAATAGCATTAGTGCACATGTGTTGCATCCAACAAAAAATATTCGAAAAATATTAATATCGTTTTTAATCTTTTAACGTAAATTTTGATGCCGATATAGAGTATATTCAATAGTTTTCTATGCTAAATAAAAGAACTTAATTTGGCGCAATAATATTGTAGCGCATTATTACGTTTTGGCACTTAAACACAATTCACAATAATTTCACATATTTCAGCGCAATTCTGTCAACATGAAAATATGTAGCATTACAGAATTTTCATTGAATGGATACTTTGTTAATACTTGGTTATATAATCACCATTTAACAATGTTTTGTTTGATGATTATTTTGATTCTTGTTATTCTTATCATAGATTGTCTAACGCCAATTTATCAAAGTAGAACTCGTCTGTCTATGCTGCAAAAGCGTTGCTAGATACACTAATCTGATGCGCTAAAGATTGTATGAAATACACAAAAATGAATGTCACCTTTTGATAAAAATTTAGATATGATAACAATGATTTAAACGGCATCATACAGTTTTTTTTATCTTTTAGGACTCGTCAGTGATGCATTGCGCCTAAATTTTAAACCTAGGAGGCGACTGAGGAAAACCAGAAGTCATTGAAAGAAATGTCAAAATCTAGATGGAGAGGTTCACTAACCCCATAATTCAGTAAATTTCGTTATTTTCATATGTCTGATAATTTTAAAAGAACGTCAAGTATATATGTATATTCTAAACCGTGCCAATATTTGATTGAATTGAAACGTAGGTTACGGTTAGTGCATGATCGACATCAAAGAAAATTCTAATGTGAAACTTACATCTCAAGAACAATTTTGTCTAGTAATCATATCCAAGTTCGAAACTATCAAAAGGTTATATTGTCTTTATCAGATTGTCTTTCACCGTTTTTAAATGACTCTCGATATAAATCTCTTCTTTTCACGTTCTCTTTATCTTTTAAAAAATAATAACGTTTATAACATTAAGGTTACCGTTTTAGCAGCCAATATTTTCATCATAGAACATGAATATGTTAGGATCAAATCACAGAATATGGTACATTTATCGTATATCTATAAATGTATTGATACATACGTAAACACAGATACAATGATAGACGCTTGTCACTTGCTTCGTTACGTATGAGCAATTTTGATAAAATCTCATTTTGGCCACGACCCCTGGATGGGCAGGTGAGGGTGAAGGTCGCTCGGTGAGTACCAGGTACACAATACTAATAGTTAGTTAATTCAGAAGTATTTGTAGTTGATATGTGTTCCGACTTAGATGATGTTATGATAATGTAATAGATCAATTATATAAACAATATCTGATTTAATAGCATCTTTTATTGCCTCATTAAAATTTGATACATCAGATTGGTTTATTGATAGTGGTGCTTACCACAGATTCACATCGAGTTGTTAAAAGATGCACAATAGGGCACTAATGAAATAGCACGTTTCAATACAAACTTAAGCCAGTAGATTAAACTGCATTTGCAATGTCCTTGTAAGTCTCGTCAGTAATACTAAAGGCCTAAATTGATAACGGGAGCGACCAAAGAGGATGTTTAGGAAATTTGCCATATCATACTTTCTTGTTTCTTGTAAATCTCGTAATTCGTCATTTGCTATCGATGCATGAATGATAACATATATATTCGTTATGAAGGCTCAGTAATTTTTTGTAACTTTCATTGTTTTATATTGCTTTATAACATGTATGTTTATGAAATATGAAATTCAATGCCTCTTCTACCATTCTACACCGTGGCAGAATTACATTTTCAATATAAATATAGGAAGCACGATTTAGCATATCGTACTTTTTACACTACAATATTGCATCTATCTAATAAGAAAAATACGCTCCATTCCACAGTGACAGTCCATCTGCAAACAACAATTTTGTTTGTCAATCAGTTGTCTGAAATTTGATGTTAATGTTTGTATAATATTCATCACAAATATAATTTTACGTGGGGTAAATCCACGCATAGACAATGATTTGATGTCGATAGCCCAGAATACAAATCACTTATCAAGTCAAATAATCTTACCTGCAGTCAGTCCTTTAACAATGATAGTTTCAGAAAGCATACAAAAGAATGACAAGTTCTTTTAAGTTACCACCTAGTGTGATAATTATTGTAAAGATTATAGAACAATTCGATGAGCTATGGAGGTGTGTATCGGTCTGTTATCAGGCATGTTGATCGGTGTATTGTGTTGGTATACGTAATTGTCGGTCATTGAATTCATAAATCATACAACTTTTCATTTGCATTTACCAGCTGGGTATGTAAGTTTTAAAGAATAAATTTATTTGCTCATTATATTTCCTCGTTCCGTATATGATTTTGAAATTGTAAAATAGTTTGATTTTCACAGCTAAATTAAATTTTCTTAATGAAAAATTTTACTAACTGACAAAGTAATAATCCACTTCTTTCTCAATTATGTAAAACGTGATGTCTTATACATTTACTATCGCAAATAATAGTCTGTAACACTATATTGTGGACAATGAAAGTTATATTCATAATTAATTCATATCAAATTATCTGCTATAAATAACTCACCAGAATGCGTGGTATCAAAGCATGGTTTATGTTCCTGCTTATCATCCGATTCTCTGGTCATTTATTTACATCCTTCCTGTAAACATAAAGAAGAGGGGAAAATGTCTACTATTCAGCATCAAATTAATGTTAGACTATGAAAATATATGTATCGCTAATACTTAACATGTAGAAACAACTCAATATTACGAAAAGGTTCAGTATTTGGAAGAAATATAAATCAGGGAAATACATATCAATTATTTATTGGATGGTATTTTCAGTGAATATTTGATTTTAGAGTCAGAAATGAATGTTACACAGAGTTCAAAATCTAAAATTAATTCCAAAATGACTCGAGTATTGAAATATAAGATGGAGAAAGTTTATTATAACACCAATGTTGGTTTTAATTCTTATTTATACCACAGCTTATTAATTCTTAAACTAGTTGTCGATTGTAGGAATAAGTCGATATATAAGGCTATATGTCTGCATACATAGAGTACGTGCAGTTTACAAGGTCCCATACGGTGCAAAAATCACTTCATACTGGATTGTACCACTAATCACTAACCCGGCAGTTGTCGCAGTAGGGGAACTTAGCCTTGGTAAGTGTCGTTCCTGTTGTCCGATCGCAGCGAAGGGAGATAAAGTCAATGATTATCGTTAACACGACCTCCTCGGTGTGATTAAAATAAAAAGGAATACTTGTGAAGTACATATTAGAAATATTCATAGCTTAGCAAAAAGTGTCAAGCTGTGCTAAAATGCCTTCCTAATTCAAAAACATGTTGAGATAGCACGAATAACAAGCTTTACCAAGTAATTATCATGGTATTGAACTTATTTGCTATTTTAAAACTATTTTGCGTTTACCGTTTTCAACATTTGCGCCATCAGTTTGGCATCCTGATCCATCAGATTGACCTTCAACGATAAACGATAAAAATTAATACCTTGATGAATATGTCGCCAAAGGAAAACAGAAATATAAGTTGAACAACATTTCAAACATTTGTTGTTGTTAGTAAAATGTCCTTGTATTTTGTAGCTATCGTGTGGAGCATACATAATAATAATCTAAATGATTTTACCTAGTGTCAGAAAAAATATAATAATTGTGACATTGACCGGTATCAGAAAAATGATAAAAGTGCGATATTTATCAATTCTATTCTTAGTTTCATCAAAGTGGTTTCAAAAGCAGATGCTGTCTCGTTAGTAACTTCCTCTTTCGTTGATCTTTTGCTTTCTTCAATAGGTCCTATCTTTTGCCGATATACTTGTTGGCAGCTGTTGTTAATGTCTATTT